CCTTACATACATGTATTATAGTGACCTCGTTAGTAAGATTAAAGTAATGATCAAGAGCTGTACCGAACGAGTACACTATAAAATTGAACATAAATTTCCATGTTACTAGAGAAGTGACCAGTAGCCCGTTGTGGTGCAGACCAAAAATCTAGTACCAAAACTAATGGACTTTTCACTCTTCACCTCTTTTGTCAATGCAGTTACTATGCAAGCTCAGCGTGTTGCGCCACCTGATTTGCAGTGCAAAGACAAGTTCCTTATCCTGAGCACAGTTATTCCATTCGGGACAACTGAAGAGGAAATTACATCTGACATGGTAAGAAAGTAAGAATTATTGGTTCTCTTGATCTAACTTTTTCATAAAAAAATGTTCATTTTAATTTCTCCTTTTCTTGGCAGTTCTCAAAAGATAGTGGCAAATACATTGAAGAGAAGAAACTAAGAGTGGTGCTCATCAGCCCACCCTCTTCCCCAGTATTTGTACCAATTAATGGAGAGTCGAAGCAAGATCCATGTTATGAAAATTCAGTGAAAAAGGATAGAGTTCTGAGTGGAGTTGAAAACATACCCCCGCCTCATGGGGTAAGAGCAATACTGTTATCTGTTTAAACTAATTCTTGACTGACCTCCTAACTTTTTTTTATGTTTCCTTTTTCATGAATTTCTTGCTCTGTGTGTACGTATCCAAATATCATTTTTTTTCTTGACAATGCGTGGGTGGGAGCACTATAGGACATCTGCATTAGCATTTTGACATGGTTGGCAGCATTGTTTGCCATCTGTACATTAGTAGGGGACATAATTTTGTTTGGAGCCAATTATCTGGAAGCAGAAATATTGATCTGAACCCTGATTTCCAGGAATGGCTATTTTATATTGCAATCAAGTCTGAAACTGTATTTTCATAAAACAGTTGTTCACACATATTGTACTGACCCTTGCACCACGATCTGTTTTCCTTGTGCCAGGTTGCTGAGGATGTTGAGGGGTTTGAAACTTATAAGGACATGGATGAGTCAAGAGCAGTTAAGGATGTCGAGGAATTGAAACCAGCTAAGGATGTGGTGGAATTGAAACCAGCTAACATTGGGGAGGAATTGAAACTAGCTAAGGTTGTGGAGGAATTGAAACCAGCTAAGGATGCTGTTGCGTTGAATTTAATAAAGGATTTTGAGGAATTGAAATTGAAGCTAAACACAGTGGATTCAAAGCTAAAAGAGGTCAGTTTTTCTCATCTAGATCTATCTTTATAGCGTGGTAACCATGAAATCCTTCTTTTTAATATAGGTGTTATAATTCTCTTTAGAAGGATTTTTGGAGAAATATCTGAATTTAAGGAACCTGACAGGGGAATAATATGGGTAGAGGTCTACTTTCTAAACATGTTGAAGTATGTTAAATTTTTTTAGATGCATATCTACTATTCGAGAAATGTTGTGAATACCAAACTTTGTTCTTCCTAAGATTCCCCCTTTTTCAATAGTCCATATCCCAATGAGGCGGACTAGGAGCTGCTTCCTAGTTCTATTTACAATGTTAACACATCCCCTCGAAAATGTAAATAAAAGTAATTTCAATGTCATATATTCTTTGCAGGCTGAACTTACCATCATGAAGCTAACAGAAGAGAGAAGCATGACCACTCGCGAGAAGAATATGCTTAAACATGAATTGGTGAGTAATTTATTCCACGAATCCTTTTTTCTGTTATCTTCATTAGAGGATGGCTGCACAAGCTGTAAATGCAGTATATATTCTCTACCATAATTGCCTTCGAATCAGATAGTATGCAGGTTGAGAGAGAGAATTGGATGACTAAAGTCACAAGAATAGTATAGAATTAAAAACACCCTTATTTGAATAATCTAAATATCAATTGTAAAGGGTTGACTTTTGAGCTTTATTACTTTTAAGTTTTGAATTTTTGAGCTACAAGGAATATTAACTGGTGAAGAGGTGAAATGCTAGTTTCTCTGTTTGACTTTTCATTTTCTTAAAATAATTGGTTTCTCTCTCTTGGACCAATCCAATTTCTATCTCGTCAATTGATTGTTTTGCTTCAGTCTTCTTTTCTCATGATTTGAGCCTTGCTGCTCTTTCCAATTTCTTTAATTGTATGCTGTGTTTATGTTGTATATATGAGCCCTAGTCTAGGGATTTGATTGTCTGCCTTTTCTTTTTGTAGGAGTTGCTGAGGAGGAAGAACAATGTCAAAAGGATTATGGTTGGCTTCCCTCTCTTTTATGTTTGTATGGTTGCTCTCATCAGTCTAGCAATCGGATACTTTATCCATCCGTAGAGAAAAAAATTATGGCTCAGATATTAGACAGTAAAACAAAGCTGTTTCTCCTTCATGGCTAATTTAGAAGGATCTATCTGCTTGCATGTTTCTGACACCAGAGATGTTTTTCAGTCTGATGTGTAAAATATGGACCCGTCTGAATTCTGCATGTAAGAGCTGATCTCTCAAATAAAATTTTATAGAGGAATGTCATTTTCTTGATGCCAAATTTATTTTGTAGCCAATGTTCCATGAATTTCAGTTATCAATGTTGATTTTAGCCTTTTCAAAAAAACAAAAAAACAAAATTGTTGAATGTAGCAAATCTGGCGACTTTTTCGAGTTCATAGTAAGGTTCAAATCAAAATTTATGCCCGTGATTTAATCATAGAACTGAAATATGAAAACATGTATTAAGCGTAAAACTAACATCTGAAACGACATGTATCAATCTGAAAATGACTGCTCATTTAAATAAACGGCAATAATCTCTTACTCTAATATACGGGAAGAGGTTCGGATGCAAGGGAGCATGGTCACACTGCCTTAGCCTAACCAACCACATTTGCTGACAATAACTTCTTTTATTCATTATGCAAATGAGAAACGATGAGCCAGAAGCACTTTCATATATTTCAGTAAGAAATGGGTCTGTTTTCGATCTGGTTTTGTCAAAAACATGCAACCATAAAAGCTAATAACATTGAAATTTTGGAAATCAAAATTCTGAAGGATCATTACAAAATCATCAATACACAACACCAATCACGCAAAACTTACACGGGTACAAACCGTCAAGGAATTAATCTAGTCAGCAACCTATGCAGACACGAAAATTTTGAACCACCACACGGAACAAGCAGCTCATCTTGTGTAAAATGCTGTCACCACACTCCAAATTCTGCTATGTATAAACAAATGCACACTGAAGCCGATCTCAATCCAAACCTATAAATTACGTAAATTAGAGCTTATATGTGTATCAGTTACTTCTCAATGCCATTGATGATCATTTTGTTCGACAGGTGAGCCCGGAACATAAGGTACAAAACCCCGCCCACCAAACACAGGCCGCATGAAGGCATTATCAAATTTTCGCCAATAATGGTGGACAGTGTGAGAAGGACTGCTTAGGAGCATTCGTAAACTAGTTGGACGGGGTATGTTCACGGGCCCATGATTTGCCTCTGAATCTTGCACCCCAAGGCTCACCTCTGAATCTTGCTCATTGCTGAGCAGTGGCACAGTGATTGATTTAGGACTAGATGGTTCAGAAGATATCATACTGCTGATGTGTTTTGATGAAGGAAGCAAAATCCTCACTAGTGGTTTAGTCATCAAACCAAATACCTGCATAAACAGAAGGATAGAATATAGCCAAACCAGTCATTTGTGATTGATATATGAAATGTGTCCCAAATGAGCTCTAGTTTTTGAGCCACTGGCTTCTTACCACTGTGCTGAAAAGAACAACTGTGATAGTACTGGTGATCATGATCGCGTTGGCACGCAAGTCAGTATGGCCAGACCTAGTAAACTGCATACACATACAAATTAGGAACTCATTATATAATTTATTTTTCTTTTCAAACCTAGTTCACAACAAAATATCAATGCTAGTGTTACAGAACACTTTGCCGAGCTTAAAATTGCTCAACATCATTGTAACAGCAGTATAGAGCAAAGACAGTTCAAAGCCGGTACCATAAGCACACAACAAGGATTTACTCTGGCTTTTATACATAGTTATGAAAGTTCCAAAGACTAGAACATAGCAGTCTCATAGGTTACACAAAGGACAATGTTCAATGTTTACCTGATTATAAGCAAGTGCCATAGAAACAGAGCCACGCATAAGCCCAGCCCACCAAATTGTAACCTGAAAACCAGACAACCCATTGAGACGTGTAATATTCATTTGATTCAAAGAATCTATATACCAAAAGAGACAACTGGAAAGAAAAAAAAAAAAGGCAAACTTTTACCTGTTGCTTCAAACTGATTTTATCAGATGGAGATTTCTTAGTCAAGTTGGTTAAGAAAGACAAGGGGAAAACAAAGGCTGCTCTTCCAACCAGAACCAGTGCCAACAGTATTGAACTCACTGCTATAGATTTTCCAGGGCTGAATAAAGAAGCAAAACAAAAATCAACTTAATAATCAAGAACAAGTAAACACTGTCTGACACACATGTACAAGAAGGAAGGAGTCTAAAGGAGGCCAATCTCCATTTTATGCATTAAGCATACCTATCGCTCACAAATTTCCACTTCTCAATGTCCAAGGCGTCCATGCCGACATAAAGAAAGATAAAAATCTCGGCAACAAATGACAGAGTGGCAAAAGTATGCCTGCATTAGTTGGTAAAGAGAATTGAAACATCAGTAACATAACAGGTATTCCAGCAATGATTTCCAGAGCTATAGACAAATTCAATAAGACTGACTATCAATTGTCCAGGAAAATGTTTTATGGAGATTCAACATACTTAGTTGTCACTCTGGAACTTTCAGTCACATTATGCCATGTGTAGTGAGACATAACAATTCCGCAAAAAAACACAGTGAGAATGGCACTTAAATAAAACAGCTGCAAGATAAATCAAAATTTTAACTTATGGTCAGATCTCCCTTTAGACAAGAAACAAGAACAAAAGAGAGAGGATGTACAAGTTTCCAGAAATCTTACTTCAGATAGAATGTATGAAAGGTAAGCCATGAGTATCATAAGAGCAACTTCACGATCCGTTGAGTGTCTGATTTTTGTAAATTGCAAAAACAAGCATAAGAGCACTACTCAAAATCACATTGAAAATTACCTGTCTTTCAACATAAAGTAAAACAAAAAATTTGATAGTTAGTAGATTTTCAGTCTCCCTCTCCTGTATGTAGGCAAGTTTTCCGCAGCACATTTCTCTCTCTCTCTCTCTCTCTCTCTCTCTCTCT